CGCTACAAAAATCGGTTCAAATATGGGTATAAAAAATAAAATATTTTTTGGGGGGTTATTTTTGGGCATTTACAATTAAGTCGACCATATCATAGTAAATCTTCATTTTAGGATAATGTTATCAAAGAAGAAGATATTCCTCGTCAAATTTCACTAAAGGTCACCGAACAAAAGAAATCCGCAGTTCTAATAGATATCAATGAAATATCAGTTACATTTTTGGTATGATTTTTTTTCTCCCATTTCGAAAGCAACAATACTCAATTTTTTTTTAATATTTTACTATTTTTTTCATTGCAAATTGAAATTATTAATCAATTAATTTAATAAATATTAATCATACGACCCCCATATAGTTTTTTTTTTAATTTATGTGAATAGATCCCCATAGTCCCTGAGAATATATATTCCATGGCGTTTTAATGTTAAGAGGAAATAATTCACGCTGGTAAATATTTGCCATCAATTAAATGTTGGTTTACCCTACTTTTGTTCCGCCACTACATTTTTGCAAAGGTGTGGTCTTTGTAAAGAGAATATATACATGTGTATCCGTATGTGTGTGTTCGATGCTATAATATTTGTCAATGTTTACATTGTTAAAAAAATAATGAAAAATATAGAAGAAAAACAAAAGTTCTAGTTCGATACTAGGAGGTGCACTGTGGAGAGTTATGGCTATGAGGGGGTTTCTGTGTGTGTGTGTGTGTTTTCCCAGCACTTAAGATAATTATAAATGAATTTATTAAAGAATTGAAAACCATATAGAGCAATGTTAACAAAATAGCCACTCAAAATCCCAAAATCGCATTGTAAATAAAATAATAATAAAAAAATGAAAATAAAAATAAAAAAACAACACCTATCAAAAGGTAATTTCAGACCACAACAAATGGCGCCGCCGCCACTGTCGTGCTAAATGTTAATTGTTGTGGAAAACTTACGTATGACCGGCCCAAGTACCCTCAACTCTCACTCACCTCTCCCGGTCCTGAGTTTAGCTGTTTTATTTATTTTTTCTTGATATCAATTCGATATGACAGATAAAAAAAGTGATCGAGTTTTGAAGGCGAAGCGCAGTCATGTGAAGAGAGTTTGTGGACACACATATTTTTTTCAAGTGGTCATTGTATGGTCCCATCAGTCAATCGCATTAAAAAGCAGTAAAAAAACTTATCTTACATTGCAGGGCAAAAGAAAAATTGGCAAGTGTTTCGATGTTATAATGCCCAGGGCCAAAATTGTAAATTATATGTATGGTCATTTGTCTGTCGGGCTTTTGGCAGTTATCACGTGCTTTTTTGTTTTTTTTTTTCAACTTCATTGCAAATTAATCAATTAGCCGCCAAGTAGAAAAAAATCGAAAACTAGACTATGACAAAAAGTGAATGAATTAAATTCTAATTATTATGTTCGCATAAAGCCAAAAACAACAGCAGGCAGGTGATCAAGCTTGAAAGGTTTTAAATAACAATTACCATCAAAAACCAACAACAACAACACAACAATTATGTGATAAACACGTAGTAAATGACATAAGTTAAACAGCTGTTTGTCCGCCTGTCACTCAGTCAGCCAACCAGTCATTCATTAAATAGACCAGACTATTTACCCAGTGTTAAAGTTAAAGACCCCGAAAAAACGCAATTTTTATCACATTAACCCTCCCCCAACCCCTCACTCTTTGATTACTATACCTCCTCATCCCCTCCCCCCTCGATTTAATCATTACAAATATTTACCCATGACTGGCACACTTGTCGCCTCTTATCGGTTAAATCACAACGACTAAGAAGACGACATTACAAACGGGGGCAGAACCTATAAGCCTTTTGTATTTAGCCCGAAATTTACTATTGTTGTTATAGTTCGAAGTTTTATTGTTGTTGTTGACAACAATTGATTTAAAGGTTACACACTCACATCGAGTTTGGCTGATTGCCTTTTTGGCAAGATTTGATAAAATTCTATCACAATTCAAGGAAAAAAATTTGAAAAAGGTAGATTTCAAAGTTTGATGACTCATTGAAATTATTTGGCTTGGAACGACCATAATTGACATTGAACTTAAATGTAATAAAGATAAGAATTTTATTGGGCTAAGTTTTTTGTCCAGAAATTACAATTCGATAATCTCAAGTCCATAAATCTAACATTGACAGTTGTAATAGAAGAAATAGTCGAAAAAACCTTGGACAGAATTTGGCATTCAGCTTTGTTTTGAATCTATCACAAATATCGTTCCACTCTCCTCTCTGTGGAAAATTGCCCACTTCTTCACATTCGGGTCTTGTTTTGGAGATCGAATACCCTTCGAGCATGAATTCAGCATTGAATTCACTACACCATCCTCAAACCCTTTCTTTTGTATGTTAAGAAATGTCTCCTTTCCTTATCAGCTTCAGTTTGAAAAGATTGGAGGCAATCCCTTGTACCAAATTTTTGAGGGCTTAGGGACGTCTGTTTTGACATTTTTTCATGGGACGGCAATATTTTCTACTTGAGGACTTCATTGTTGTCCTGAATTCACTATCCTCTAATGATGACCTTTGATTTTGGTCATGTTGGCTACCTTGACGTCTCTTAAATTTTAATTTCTCTTAAGATTCCGAGGCTTTGTCGATTTCTGTAAACTGATTCTTGTGTATATTTTAGTTGTGAAAGGTCTTTAAACTCATTAATAATGTTTTAATATAAACAAATGTATTTAATTGTGGACATTATTAAATAAGAACAAATATTAAATACGATTTGTGGTAGGCTAAAAATATTTGCAGTGGCAATGACCGATAATATTTGTCATTTTGGTGAGAGGCAATTTTGGGATTTGATGTATTTTTTTTGTGTCACTATTTTCTCAAGAGCTTGATTTTCAAACTAATGGGGTTATTTTAATAAATTAGAATTACTGATATAGAATAATATCAAATCTATCTAAAATATAAAACTTTTGCTAAGGTTGTTGTCGAAATACCTGAGATATTGCAAAAATTAGAACAATGAAACATTTTTGAAAATAGCTTAGATTTTAGCGTACACAATTTCAGGAGCTCATAACTTCGGACATAACAGAGTTATTTTAATAAAATAAATTAGATTTGAAAGATGAAAGTCCTATCTTTCGAAATTGTTAAATACTATTGTTCTACCTTACTAAATGTCTGAGATAACGGGAAAATGGTAAAAATACCCAATTTGAGAATTATTGGAATTTTTCGCGTAATCATTTTCAATGGAACATAACTTTTTAACTAATCGAGTTATTTTAATAAAACTACTTTGGCTTTTGTAGAGGAACATCTTATCTTTGAAAGTGTCATTAATTTAGTTTGAACTTGCTGAAAAAATTCCTGAGATATCGGGAAAAATGCAAGTATACCCAATTTTGGGATTTGATGATTTTTTCCCCGTACTCTCTATATTTTCACCAGAACTTTTAAACTACTTGAGTTATTTGGTTGAAATTAAATTATTTTTGAAGAAAAATATCTAGGCTTTCAAAATATTACTAATTATGTCAATGTTGCTTGCAAAATTTCTGAGATATCGCGAAAATTGCAAAAATATCCAATTTTGGAATAGTATGAAATTTTCTTTGTAACCTTTTTCTTTAGACCATAACTTGTGAAATAGTAGGAATATTTTAAAGAAATAAGATTTTTTTTAAGAATATTGTCTAGGCTTTCAAAATAAAATAGGTTATCTAAATAGTGCTGACCAAGTTCCTGAGTTATCGAGAAAATTCTATGTATACCCAGTTTTTACACATGTATACTTTTTTCTCGTCATTACTTTCTTCATACCATAACTTTTGAACCATTTGAGTTATTTTGATGAAACAAAATTATTTTTGAAGAGTAACATCTAGTCTTTCAAAATGTTATAACATATCTTGGTCCAGCTGACTAAATATCGGAGATATCGTGGAAAATTTATGCATACCCAATTTTATTGGGTTTCGCTATTTTTTCAGTAATAATTTTCTATGGACTATAATCTGTAGAGTTGTTGAGATATTTTTATGAAATGAGTTGGCTTTTGAAGATGAAGTTTAGGAGCTTCCAACGATGTAATTTTATATGGACATTACTGCAGTAATATCTCGAGATATGGGCAAAATACATAAGTTAGCCAATTTTGTTTATTTTGCGTCATTTCCTTCTAATTAACATAATTTTGGTCATAATAGGTATATTTTCATGAAATAACTTAATTTTAATAGGGTACGTGTAGATTTTCAAGGTATTGTATATTTGATTGCCCTTAGGTCCATTTTTGTAGCCTCGAGGGGATTTAGTTTCCTCTTAAACGTGATTTGTGTAAATAATGTTAACTAATTTTAAGAGTTGTATTGGGAAATATCGTACCGACTGAACCCTGCTTGACGTTGTGTTGTATGAAATCATAGATGCGGAACCCGTCTTCATGTTGTATGATGGAATATCTTAGCGGCTGAACCCCGTTCTTTATGAAATATAACATCACTATAGAATTATAAAGTTATTTTGGAATTTCTATCTTACATCCGGTCCCCTATCTGTTTTAATTTATATATGACTACAAACCTCACATTTTAATACTGCAGTTTAGATTTTGGAATATTTCTCCATGTGAACCCCCCTTATATGAATTCTAATACGATTGTTTTTTATTAGAAAATCTTAATAATCAATCTTATTTCTTTACTATTTGTCATACCTCGATTTTTTTAGTTCTCTATCTTAATCATCGGCATTATGACTTCATAATTGCGGATTTTTTTCAAAAGTGACGTTTTCAAAAAGAACATAATTTCTTGTCACTTATATATTTATGAATAAGAAGTCGAAATAAAACAAAACATTATTGACTGAACACTTACTAATTAAATTCAATTAAGCGAAAAATGTCAAGAAACTTTGATGCTCAGCGATTTGAACTGTAATTAAGAATTTCAAAACCTGTTCCGCAACGATTTCAATATTAATTTTTTGTTTTCAATTTTTCTTTTTCGATATCTTTACAGTGTTGCCTGTTTATCAACAACGTAGCTATCATTCACACACTTTCAACATGGCTGATATCAACCAAAAACCCAAATTACAGCTACGCGCTGGAATTTCCGTTAACGGCGACAAGACCCCCTCTCCGGCCACCAAACTGCTGATCAATCATGGCAAGCCCAATTTCACCATTCAACGTTCGCCAAAAATTCAAAATGGCAATGGCACGAATGGCAACCCTTTGTCTCCACAGCCAGTGGCGCCCAAAAGTGAATTTGTTGTCAGGTCGACCACTTTCAATGGGGTCTTTAAGCCATCGAATGTTAGTCCGGTGGCTACCAAACCAACTTTGCTTAAACAAAATGGTAACATCAGCAACAACAACGTCAATAATAACAACAACAACAATGGAGAACATGAAATGGCCAAGGTGGTATTGAGACGTACCAAAGTCCCCGAACCCGCCGTCAAAGAGGGTGAAGATGAAAATGTCCCAGAATTTATTCTCCGCCAAAGACGTATCCAAGAACGTTTGGCCAAGGAGAATTTAGATTTTGAAAATAGACGTAGCGGTTACTTTACCCAGGTTTTGATTTCTCCCTCATCGCCAAATCGTAAATCCTTTGTTGAGACCATGTCCAGTCCGGCTGTGATGCCAAGTTTGGAAATTCCACCACCCGAAACAAAACCAGAGAAAATTGTTGAGGAGGAAAGCCAGGAGGAGAAGAAGGGTGAGGAGCAGGTATTGCAGGAAATTGCCAAGGAAATTGTGGAGGAGGAAGCTAAGGTAGAGGAATCTAAAGTGGAAGAAGCTAAAGTTGAGGAGCCCAAAGTAGAGGAACAGGCTCCCGTAACAGAAAATGGCCACGATGCTGAGGAAGAGGAAGTCAACAAGGCCATTGAGGAGGTTAACAAGGCAGTGGCTGGTGAGGATGACGATAAGGCCGAAGAGGAACCAGAAAAGGAAGTTGTGGTACAAGAGGTTGTTGTCACCTCAGCCCCAGTGGAAGAGGTTAAGCCTGAGAGTGAGGAACCCGCACAAGTTGCCGTGGTTACATCTGCTGTAGAAACTGAAGAAATGGAAACCAAACCCCAAGAACCTGAGGCTCCCGTACAAGCTGTGGTAACATCCGCCTTGTTGGTAGAAGAGGAACAAAAGCCCCAAGAAAATGGCCACACCGAAGTAGCACAAGAGAAACCCTTAGAAAACGGCCATACCGTAGAAGAAGAAGCCGAAACCCCCCATGAAAATGGCCATGTCGAAGCTGTGGTGGTCACCTCAGCCCCCTTGGTGGAGGAGGAGGAGAAACCCCAAGAAAATGGTCATGTAGAGGCCGCTGAACCCCAAACCAATGGCCATGAAATCACCATTTCCCATACAAATGCCTCGACCACACCCAGCATACCCTCTCCCGATCCCAGCGGTGAAAAGGGTGTTAATTTTGAACCCAAAACTGTGGTCTCCTTCTCACGGGAATTGGGCGATGTCAATAAATATCCCGATACCGTTAAGGTGGTGAAGGATGTAGAATCCCCCAAGGTAGATGATGAACTTAAAGAATTGGCCAAATTGAAATTTGAAATTAAAGCCGATGATCAGGATATTGAAGTGAAACCGGTACTGAAAGTGGAGTAAAAAACCCAATTTTTTAAAAACTTTCCGAAAAAGTTAGAAATAACAACAAAAATCCCCAACAACAAATCTACCAGTTAAGATATGGAGATTGAAAGCAATTTCATTTATTATGGCCATTTAAGAGAGGGAGAGACACACTCTCTTTATTTCACTCTTCTTTACATTCCCTATGAATAGAAAAGCAAAACGCCATATTGTTTATCTCTCTCATTTTCTTTGTGGGAGAGAATACAAAAAATAAATTGTAATTAATCTCTGAAAAAACAAGGCATGCTCTTTCTCAACGAACTTTCTCCTCTTTATCTTTTCAAATTAAAATACAACAGAGAGCATTTCTCTTTGAAGGAGGAACATCACAGCCAACGAAAGATGGTAGAGAGTTTGCCTTATCTGCTATATTAGTTTAAAACTCTTCATTTCTTAATTTTATAAATTCTAAAAAAACTTATTGTTGTTTATTTAAAAAAATATATAAACAAAACATGGCATTATAGCGGTAAATTAATTTCCATATATTATTTTAAGTTAAAGAAAAAATATCTAAGGAGCTAAAAGAGAGAGCCCCATATGCATTTTTACATGATATCTTAATAAATAACTTGAAGGAACAGAGTGAGAGCTTTGCGTCTCTCTCTCTTCCTCAGAGTATTTTTGTAGTCCATTGTTTTATTATTTTAATTATATTAAATAAAAATATATGTATTTTTTCTTTAGTTTTTAAGTTTTAATTGTTGCCAAATTTTAAATTATAATATAAAATTTATTATTTAAATAAAAAAATATAAGAAAAAAAGACAAAAAATTAAAGGGACTTTTTATTACAAGGGAAAGTGGGAGAAATATAGCTACATTGTGTATAGAACTTAAGGTTTCTATAGGAAATCTTCAATTCAGCCTGGCTGAATTAAGATTTCTATAGGAAATCTTCAATTCAGCCTGGCTGAATTAAGATTTCTATAGGAAATCTTCAATTCAGCCTGGCTGAATTAAGATTTCTATAGGAAATCTTCAATTCAGCCTGGCTGAATTAAGATTTCTATAGGAAATCTTCAATTCAGCCTGGCTGAATTAAGATTTCTATAGGAAATCTTCAATTCAGCCTGGCTGAATTAAGATTTCTATAGGAAATCTTCAATTCAGCCTGGCTGAATTAAGATTTCTATAGGAAATCTTCAATTCAGCCAGGCTGAATTAAGATTTCTATAGGAAATCTTCAATTCAGCCTGGCTGAATTAAGATTTCTATAGGAAATCTTCAATTCAGCCTGGCTGAATTAAGATTTCTATAGGAAATCTTCAATTCAGCCTGGCTGAATTAAGATTTCTATAGGAAATCTTCAATTCAGCCTGGCTGAATTAAGATTTTTATAGGAAATCTTCAATTTAGCCTGTCTAAATGAGAGTTTCTAAAGGAAATCTTCAATTCAGCCGGGCTGAATTAAGATTTCTATACGAAATCTTCAATTCATCCTGGCTGAATTGGGTTTCTTGTGTAAAACTTCAATTTATTTTAGCTAAATCGATGTTTCCTTTGGTAAAACTTCAATTCAGCTTAGCTGAATTAAATATTTTACACTTGTTATAACATGTTTTTCATTTTTTATCAGTTTGTAGATTATTAGCCATATTATAATTGTAGGAATAATAAATAAAAAATTGTAGCCTCGTGGTTTTATTGCTGATTAAATACCTATTTTGCTATTTGGCCTTAAGGCAGAGGGTGACGGGGGATGTGTAAGTATGTAACCACACCTAACTCACATGGTGGTGGTAGTGGCATATGTAAGACGCCGTATAATAAACAATTAATAAAAAATATTATTATTATTATTTTTTTAAATATACTTTAGCCCCCAGACATTTGTCATGCCATTTGATAACTGACAAAACGAACTATTGATGGTACTTTCCCAAGTGGAATGGATGGAATGACAAACAACAACAAAACGAATAAATTACAGCAAAAATTTAGAACTTCGGCAGTGAGCAATGAATTGTGGCACATGGAGAGAAAACTATCAACTCATGAGAATGTCATCCGTCATATTTTTTTAATTGAATTTGGGAGGGATAACTGAGTGGTCATAAAAAAAATTGAGTTGTGATAAAAAAATGCGCTTAAGGTGTGATTTTTTATAACCTTTGGATTTTTTTGAAATTTTATAAAAACTTAATTTTGATAAGAGAAAAAAATGAATATCTTCAGCATGACTGATCATGACATTGGCAGTGATTTTTTTGTTTTGTTTCCCTTTTACTGGTCAATAGATTACTGGCTAGGTTTTTTTTTTGTTCAACACTTAAGGGTAATAGGTTCGCCTCGGTCACGGCTTGTTATCACACTTTTTGAAATGTTATATTTTTATTATTTTTTAACAGTTACTCTTTGCTAATCTTTTTATACTTTTTGCTGTTGTTGTTGGTTACTTGACTTTTGTGCATTTAAAAGCCTCCCGAAATTTATTATTTAGTGTTTCGTATTTTTAAGTTTTATTATTTATTGGTCATTTTGTTAGCTTTTGTAGTTTTTTTTTATTTGAAATGAAAACAAAAACACAAAACACAACAATTTAAGGTTATTTTGGCAATAAGAAGCTGCTCGTTGTTCGCTAGCTGGAGGTCAAATGTACCACAAAGATGTCTAAAACGTTTTTTGATTGATTATCGCTGTTTTGGACCACCAGCACCACCAACCGCACCACTCAGATGATAAAGAGTGTTTTTTTTTTGCGGTATTTGGTTTCAAGAGGTGTGGCAAAAAACAAATCGTATTTTTTTTGTAGCTCTGCTGTTCTAGCAAAATTGTTTGAATTTAAATTTAGAAATGGATTAGCTTTTGGATTTTAGTATTTAAAATTTAAGTGTAAGATTTCACATTTAACCAACCCTTGAAAAAATATTTTTTAAGACCGAACGCCTTCATCTAAGCTTCGACAAATATTTGTAGAAAAACCACCTATTGAAGGCCTTGGAAAATTTTTTTTTTAACCCGCCAAAAGACTTCAAATAACAATTATTTTTAAAAATCTTAAAAAAAAAAACTACGAAAAAAATTTTTTTAAAAAATCTAAATCTATATTGAAGGTTTTTTTAAATTTGTTGTTCAAAATGGGCTTAAAAATATTTTAAAAATATTTTTTTTTAAACCCGCCATGAACTAGACTTCAAATAACAATTATTTTTAAAAATCTTAAAAAAAAAATGACGGAAATGATTTAGGTTTCGAAAAAAATGTTTTTAAAAAATCTAAATCTATATTGAAGGTTTTTTAAATTTGTTGTTCAAAATACAATCTTAAAAATATTTTCCAAAAAAAGAGTAAATCAATTGCTCTTTAGAAAAAAAAGTTTAGAAAAAATATTTTTTAACAAATCGACGGCTATATACAGGGCTTCAAAAATGCAAAAAATCATTTTTAAGAAATCAACCTCTTGATTTAGGCTTCTAAAAATATATATTTTAATCCATACCTTTAAAGGCTTAAAAAATATGGTATGCTCATTCTATGCTATGAATATTACTTTTTTAAAATCAATGCCTCTTCAAGGCTTCGAAAAAAATATCCAATTTTTAAATCCACATTTCGCAACTCTCATATCAGGCAGCGACGCCATCTATTATCGAAATGACACATTAACAACAAAACATTTGTAAATGCATGAAAAAAAGCTTTTAAAGTGACGAATCCAAAATTTATACAGACAACGCATGTAATTGGTGGACATAAACTAAAGCATACTTTTAGGCGTTCGTTTTAATGTTAACTGAAGTAATATAAGGGTTATTAAATAGAATTAAAATTTAATTTTACACCCTAAAGTGTATACTAAATTTGCCATCCCTCTTGCAATAACTCGAAATATCCACCCTAGACCCCATATGGTGTATTCTTGATCCGAATAAAATTCTATATCGATTCAGCCATGACCTTCCATCTAGACTGTTTGAAATTTTTTGGTATAAAGGTACCCCTCAATATTCGGTATTTTGGGGATATTAGGCAGGTTTTCCAATCTAATCAGCTGCAATTTGGTATTTTGGGTTCTCATTGGGTAGCAAATCTCTCTACCAAAAATTATCCATATTGGTCCACTTTTTGTCCACAATTCAACTCTAATTTCGATGTTTTGGCGTGTTTGGACACGTTTTTCAAAGCGAGTTGGCTCGAATTTGATATTTGGGATCCTTATTGGGTAGAAAATCTTCCTACCAAGCAGTATCAATATTGCTTCATATAAAAACTAAAATATATTTTTAGACCATTTTCGATATCAATCGATATCAGGGATGCAAAAGTTGGTACAATTGTACTAATTTTAGCACTATTTGGAAGTCAGAGGTACAATAGCACCCCAATGACATATTTAGCACTATTTCTAAATTGTATCGAACTATTCTCACTTAAATGTATTAGACGTGCTTAAACATTCAATATGAAATAGATCGCCATTCCCGCCGTCGTTAAGAATGGATGAATTTGCCACAGTTTAAACGTAGTGTCCTATGCCAATTCAGAATTCCCGATCAGGTTGATAAATTCAGTAAAGAAGATATTAATTATTATTTTTGTAACAGTTCTATGAGAGAGATGATTTTTCATTGTTTCAGGAATGTTTCGGTACAGATATGCATGTTGTTTTTAAATACTCAACAACTCGATGGCTTTCACGTCAAGAAGTTATTGAAACAATTTTGGCACAGTGGAAATCACTTCAATATTATTTTACACTCAATGATTTTGAAGCTGATTCCCAAAAGTTAAGGCTCGATTCTATTATTTCAGAATTTTCAAATCCTTTTTAAACCCTTCACCACACTGTGGAACAGGAGGGTATTATGTCTTTTTGCATATGTTTGTAACAGGCAAAAGGAAACGAGATAGACACATGGTTCCTTTTGAGAGTATGCATAGAATCACTTTTTAAGTCGATTTATGCATCTCCGTCCGTCTGTTTGTCCATGTTAAATTGTAAACAAAGTGCAGGTCGCATTCATCATCCGAATTGGATAAAATTTGGC